TACCTTTACAAAAATAAATCACCTAAAATTTAAATTTTTTAAAATGTGTTTAAGACAACATATCGTTCAGATCAGGGGCGGATCTAGGATTTTTTCCAGGGGGGGGGGGGGGGGGGGGGGGGGGTGGCGGATTTTCAATAAAAAATTTTCAAAATTTTGAATACCTATTTTTTTAGGTCGACCAAATTGATTTTTCGAGCTCTCCCAAAGCACTGTTTTGCCCATATTTTGGCAAAATTTTTAGCGCCGCAGGCAAATTTTTGAAAAAACAGTCAAAAAAGCCGTTTTTGGGCACTTTTTGAAAGATTTTGACAAAAAAAAATCGCGTTTTTTTTGGCGCGCGTTCCCCCTCAAAGTTAGTATATATTGGCGCCGAAGGCGCCTTTAGAAAAATTTTAGGGTCGGTCGGCCAAAAATGGATTTCTGAAAAAGTATCAAAGGGGGGACCCTTTGGGTCGGCAGGGGGTCGAATCCCTGAGGGGAGGGGAGCGTCCGCCCCCCCCCCCGCCCGCCCCTAAATCCGCCCCTGGTTCAGATGGTATGTAAGTTTGTTTTAAAATGTTTTGTTAAACAGTCGAAAATTGCCTGAAAAAAAATTAACCAAAAGCATTATATGCCGTTCCTTCGAATGTCAGAGCAATAACGAAAAAGAAAACGAAAAAGTTCTTCAAAACATGTTCTTCAAAACATGTTTAAATTTGTTTCGAAAAATCGAAAAATTTCAATATTAAAGCTTCGTTAATGATTTCAGTTAAACTCAAACAAAAATGCAAAAAGTCGGAAATTAACCCAAAAGTTTGAGTCAAAACGTAAATTAAAAACTATTTAAGAAAATTCCTGGAAACGAAAAAAAAATGAAAATAGAAAATCAATGAGGCAAAAGTTCGATCGATGACTCTTCGAATAAAAGTATGTCGATTAGATGATAAAACTTTAGCAATAGCTCGCAACCCGGAACAAATCCTAAAAAAAAATTTCTCCTCGTCGACTCAAAAAATTGTCGACTTTAATGTTTTACACTTAAAATCAGTTTTTGAAGTCTGAAAATAAAAAACTTTTACTCTCTAAAACTGAGTTATTAAAGGTAGAGAGTTGGTTTCTGTAGTGTAACTCACACTTAAGCACTGAATTAAAAACTTAAGATTACCTAAGGAAACCTAAACTTTTGAGCTGAAACTAAAAATTGGTTAATTGAAACAACGGTATGATTTTTCAGTTTTTGAGATTTGAATTCAAAATATAGGCCTCCTTAATATATGCCTGGAGTTTTAAATTTTACACTCTAAACTTTGGTTTTACTGGTTTGAAACGATGAGTTTTTAGGTTAAATTAACACCTTTTGGATCATATTTGTGTTTAAAAAATCTCTTTTACTCTGTAACTCTTTAGCGATTTTGACTGTGAAAGTATAAGATTTTGAAGTCTGAAATCCAAAACAACAAATATCAAACGTAAATTGTATCCCTAAAAATCAAGTCTTAAATTTGGTATGGCAGGTTTTAATGCCGTTACTAAGAAGTCATATGAAATGATTGGGTCTCAGTTTTTTGGCTAAAAACTCAAATTTTCTGTTCTTAAACCTAAAATTTATAGAAAACTTAACTTCTAGGTCGTCGTTTTAGTCTTTTGATTTCTAAATTGCGTTTTGTTGATTGAATTTCTGCCGTTTTAACATTTTTTTTATGAAAAAACTCGATATTCAGTAAAATTCCTCTCTCTGACGACATAATTAGATATAAATTATTATTAGGTTATTTACGTTGAATTATATTTATGGGAACGTGAGAATAAAACTTTGAAAAACAAGAAAGATTTAGCATACTTGAAAACAAAAGGAAATGGTTGGATAGATAAGTGATGAAGAAATCAGTTTATCATATAATTTAAGTTAATCCCAGATTGTATTTAAAAACACTGAACATTTTTTTTAAAATTCGAATACTATAAGCGAATCAAAAACTAGATAGAGAATGATGATATTAATTTTTATCTTTGGTTTTGGCACGTATTTAGGCATGTATATAATTAATCAGAGAAGCTATATCTTACTAGCAGACAGGGTCAGGGAGCGATTCCTTCAGAGCGAACAATGATAAAACTTATGATGAATGATTAAGTTTCATGATTTAGCCTCGAGATGGAGAAAAATGGGCGAATGATGCCGTAGGATGTAGGATTTGCCTAAGTCCAGGCAGAAATATTTATAAGGTAGAAGACTGAATTGGCTTTCTATAGAAAAACACCAATTGTCTTAGTTTTTTGAGATTGGAACTAACTGAAAAAAATTCTCAGAGATCGTAGTATATATATGTTTCATAAATCGTTCTAAATAAAACTAAGGCACGCTAGTTGGTCTACTTAGTACTTTGATATTAATTTTGACCATAACAAAAAGTCTTGACATCCAGAGCTTTGCATTGTTACGAGCAGTATTGCTTGGTAATTTTTGTTGTTTTTGAAACAAATGACGAAATTTTTTTTGAGTTGTGTGTTAAAACAACTCAATCTTTTTCTTTTGACACTAATCTTATTTTGTCATTATATGGGTAGTGTCAAACACACAAAAAAAGAAGAATTATTTGGCTGAACAAGCTGCAAACTAGCCATGCATAATCACGCCCAAAATTTTTCTTCGGCTGCTCTCAGTTGCTCCTCGTTGGGGAAAAAAATTTACTTTTCTAACTACTGTCTCCTTAATTTGTTTTTTTTTTCTAAAAAAAACTGTGCAGTAGTAGACTGTAAATTTTTTTTATACTCTGTACAATATACAGCGGGTGCGCTAATTTTCTGCCAAGCGTGAGCATATTCTCAAAAATTTTTAAATTTCTCGGAAATTATTTTGTTGGACATTCCTTAACACTTAACTTGTTGTTCCGACTGTTAAAGTAGTAAGGAATATGTATGACTGGGGTACTTTTGTTTAAATTTGGACCTATTAAAAAAAATTGACTGCGTATAAGTAATAATCCGGAAATCTTCCGATTGCCATGCGAGAATGCTTGCTCTATATTAAAGTACTAGCTGCATCGCTGTTCGAATAATACTTTCATAAAAGTATTACTCAAAATATTTATGCGTGGCAATTTATCCGCACTCATAACCGTTTAAAATTGAAGCGAGGCGTACTATAATTGGTCATGATTCGAATATTATCTCTTGCAATTGGTTTTTAGCAGTGACTATTCGAGACCAGTTAAGGGGCAGTTGGAACTTTTAGGGACTTGCCTGATATACGAGCAGACTTGTTGTTCCGACTTTCGATACGAAAGTAACGGAATATTTGTGCTCGGGGTGGGTTTTTTTTTTCTTCAGACAAATTTCGACTTTTTAACTAGCCATTTTTGACGGAATTTTTTTATATCAATCGAAAGGTATTGTTGTCCTGAGCTCAAATTTGAAAAGATGTTTTACCTGTGATCATTTTTCGTAAAGTAACGGGGGTTTAAAGATTGCAATTTTGGCCAATTTGGGACAATTAACGCGCGATTTATTTCGCGCTATTAACGCGTAAGCGGAGAGTTAATCCGTCTTAGAAATCGTTCCAAATTGGTTAAAAGAAGCTTATTTGCCATAATTGATTTGTTAATAGGAGCGAAATCTATCACTTTGTACTTTATATGGCGTGTGGGGGGATGATTTTCATAAAAAAATTTCAAATTTTAGAAAAAAAACTTTTCAATTTTTTTATTTCATTGAATTTTTTAATGTTATTACTGCTCCATAAACCTTAAAAGGCAGTCGGAACATTCAGGGCTTCGCCCTGTTACGAGCAGTCTTGTTTGTTTATAGGTAGACCATTTAGAAATGACTATTGATCCAGATCAAAAGAACAAAAATTTAGAGCTTTTTTGAGCATTTGAAAGTTAATAAACATAAGACAAGTAGCACAGATTTTTGACTGCAGTATTGGTGTTACTTCCTTGACAAAGCAAACAAAGCATGCCAAATTTAATTGACAAAAAACCCAAAAAGTAAAAACCGGTCTACTAAAATTTTCATGTTGGTCATGACTATAAATTATTTTGAGAAAAACATGCCCAGAAAATAAAAATTGGTCTAGTAAAATCTTCATTTTTGTCATGAATAAAAATTTAAAAAAAACATGCTAAACAAACAAGTGAAAGTCAAATCAAATTCGAAACGAGTCTTACATTGTGGTAACAATACAGACAGTACCTGGGCAGAATCATGTTGTGCCAAAAAAAAATTATGTTTATGAAAAATTTCAAAAAGCAACAAAAGAATGTAAGTTCTCCTCAAAATAATTGAGTACAATCTTTTTTTTTCTGCTCATCAGACTATTCCAAATGAGGCAAGCTGAAAACTCTTAAGTCAAAAAAAGGAAGAAACGAAAAAATAAACGAAAAAAGCGATTTACCTACAATACACTTCCATTCAGCATAAAAAAACAAGATCCGAATAGAACGCGTCCATTTACTATTGAGACTTGATCAACATTGTCTGTTAGTTGACGAAATTAGAGATGGAGATGGCCATCAATTTTAGTCATCCTGTGAACAAATATATTTACGGGGTGAAAAGTCTAGTACAAGTTGTAGCATACTTGCTTACCGCGAAGGTAAAAATAGGTAGTTGAAGCTAAGTTGAAACAGCTCCAAAGTGAGACTAGCGGGGAATTTTTCCAGTCAATCTAACTATAGTGAGTGAATTAGAATTGGTCTGAAATACTCATTTTTTCAAATCAGTTTTTCTTGATACTGCAAAAAATTTCAGAAACCGCAATCACGATGAAAAAAGCTTAAATATGAAACCACTTTCGATACCTTCAAATGGTCCTAGATGTTTTTGAATTTATTTTAAAAAGTTCATAGCTCCGTGCCATCCGGACCATAAAGTACCAGATGTAGTTCTGGAAAACTTGATTGTGGATACAGCAATAACTTCTTGTGAAGTTGCTTTGGCTGTGGAAACTTCAATTTGATTCGTTCTTGTTTAATTAAATAACTGCACTCCAAAACACTTCGTTTCTATGCTTCAGTTGTATCAAATAAACATAATACAAAAATTGCATGCATGCTGTTTGAATTTTTATCGAGAACAGAAAATGTAATTTTCAACCATCGCTGCAGACAAAGTGTATATTAATGCGATTTGATTTCAGAAGAATTTAACGCACGAAAGAGTTAATTTTGAATTACGTCAAAACGTTTCAATGGATTCGGAGGAGGCTCAGAAACATGCAGTGGTCATTCAGAGCTCCTATCGTGGCTACAGAACGCGAAAACAGCTCCAAGACAACCCGAAAACACCCCCAAAACCCGAAAACGAACAGGATTTACACGAGAAAGCTGTTTTGATTCAGAGCAGCTACCGAGGATACAAAACGAGGCGAGATTACAAAAACCAGCCCCTAAGTTCAACGGACGAGTCGGATAGAGAAGAGAAAGCGATTGCAATTCAAAGCGCCTACCGAGGTTATAAAGTGAGGAAGTCGAGAAAAGTGGACGACAGAGCGAACGGGTTCTCGCCAGACAGCGAAGAGTTGGAGCGAAAGCATCAAAGTGCAACTGTGATCCAAAGTGCGTATCGTGGCCATGCTGTGAGAAAATCTAGAAAAGGTGGCAAAAATGAAGAGCCTGATAAGTTGCACGATCATGCGACCGTCATTCAAAGTTCATATCGTGGATTTGCAGAGAGGAAAAAACGCAAAAGAAAACAGGAAAAGGAGCAGGCGGCGGTTGCTATTCAGAGTGCATATAGAGGTTACACAGTCAGAAAGAGTTATAAAAGTACAGCAAAGTTCGCGGCTGAAGATGGTTCGGAGGAGGTTGTGATCGAGGAGTACGCGAACTTCGCCAGGGATCCGAGGGACTCCGAGGACGAGAACTGGGATGAGGGGACTGGGGATACTTACGCCACACACATCCAAGCAGGAGTGAAAGGTTAATTATGGTCTTTAACCAATTGTTATTTTTCTGATTGAGATTTTTCGGCTCTTTTTCCTTTTCCCCCCACCTGCAAATTTAAATTATTAAAATGACTGTTCGCATTGTTCAATTGTCATGAAAATTGACAAGCAGACTAATTAGGCCATTAAAAAACATATTTGATTTTCAAAATTAACCTCGTAAAATCACTCGTTAGGCCATAAAATTGATGCTCGTGTGAGGTGGGGTGAAAAGGAAAAAGAGCCGATTTTTCAATTAAGACTGTCCCTGGTAGCTGAAATTGACCAAAATTATCGTAATGCAAGAGTGGATCGTTCCGACTTTCCTCCCCGATTTTAAGGCAAGAGTGTGATAAAAGCGTAATGAGGAAAATGTGGAGGTTGAATCCAAACAAAAACAGAAAAATAAAGCCTGTTTGCGGCTTCCAGAACAGACCATTTTTCTCTTCTCCTTCTACCATTTTTGCAGTTGCATCCATTGAAACCCCAATCAATGGAGGCATTTCTTAACACTGTGATAATCTAAAAAGTAAACTCATAAAATTCCATATTCTGGACAAACGTGTTCTTCTTATTTGTAAGATACACGCAAATAGTCATAATAGCAACCCGCACTCAGTAAAAAGAGAAAATAATAGATTATATTGGGTTTTTATTGTCAGTCTCCACAAATTTCAAAAAAAATTGATTATAATCGATTAAAAATGGATTATAAAAATACTATTTTTCGAAATAATAAAAATCATTATAATCGATTATTTAAAAAAAATTTCTCAATTTTTCTTGAATTATAATCCATTAAAATGGATTATAATCCATTATTATTCAACAATTGTGTCATCTCTTCATTTCGTTTTATTTTGTTTTGTTTTATATGCTGTTCAGTTGGTTAACAAACTAAAAAAACTGTAATTTTGTACTTATAGGCAGGGGCGGTTTTAGGGGTTGGGGGGTTTCCTCTTCCCCTTTGAACTATCTTGAGATATCCATTTTGGGTGACGAAGCCTATGAACTTTCTAAAGGCGCCTTTGGTACCAGTATATACTAGCTTTGAGGGGGGAGAGCGCGCCAAAAAAACGGGATTTTTAGATCAAAACTTTCCAAAAATTGACTAAAAACTCATTTTTTGGCCTTTTCATAATTTTGCCTGCGGCGCAGAAATTTGATCGAAATGGGGTCTTTTTTATAGTTTGCTAGGAGAACTCAGAAAATTAATTTGGTCAACCTAAAAAAAAGTCGACAAAATTTTCGAAAATTTTTGAAAATCCGCCCCCATCCCAGTAAGTCCTAGATCTGCCCTTGCTTATAGCTTAAACTATAAGCAATTTAGTTTTTGCGGTATTTTCATGCAGAATAGCTAAATTATAATCCAATTTAATTGATTTTTTTGTGAGATATTATTTTGATAGAAAAAAGGATTATAATCTATTATAAGAGATTTTCGGAAACATTATAATCAATTTTTGTTGATTATAATTTTTTAAAATGTCACCAAAAATATTATCATTATAATAGATTATAAATTGGTTAAACATCTAAAATTGGCCCTTTTTATTGAGTGCGGGATGTAACACCAGTAAGAAGAAACAGATTTATTTCTCAATAGATGCGAAATATAGACAATTACATTACGAGGTCTAAGTGGGCATTTTATAACTTGTAAGTGGATTCTGTAGCAAGCCAAAATCAGATTTGTAGCGGAACCCGCAACATAGCTATTTATTTCGACCTCCTTTGCTGTTTTGGCCTCCACAAACAAATAGCTCAAACACTGTATCGCTCAAAATCTCAGAATCTCCAATAAACCTCTCAAGGGACCTCTGCCCAATTCAACTTCCCATCCCAATCATCTCATCTCAAATGGTGAACATTGTAAATCACTATAAGCCCACTATAATCCCAAACAATGATTTTATTTAGTGGCTTTGTTTTCTTCAGGCTTTTCTTCAGGCTTTTTTCCGACTCTATCTTAAAGTTCTCTTAATATTTAAAACCTATCGGCACCATATACTAATTTTGTGGGGAGGCACGCGTCAAAAAACTCAATGACTGTTAAACATAAACCCCATTGTAGGTTTTTGTTTATAATAAAAAAATAAAAAAGAACTGTGAAGTTCTTTCAGGACAAAGATAAAAAAGAACTGCGAATGTTTTCAAATAATAAGAGATCTTTATGATAGAATCGGAAAAGAGCCTGAAGAAACTGCCTTGAACAATAAGCCCTGGAAAATGTTTTAATTTGAAATAAAATCAGAAATCATAACGCAGGCAGAACTAAAATATGATCCAACCTTAAGCATATCTTTTGAATAATTGCTATTATATGAAACGGTGAAAAACAATTAAAAGACCGAAGTCTAGATAGGTCTTCTAATTCCGAATTTAAGTGGAGAGTGTGGTAAGGGAGGGGGTGTTGGTTGTAAATTAATTTTCTAGAGCTTCTCACTCTTCGAATTAGAGTGGCAATGTTTGTTTACTAGGCTACATGGCCAGAAAGGAGTTCGAGACTGGGCAAGAGAGGGCAAAGAATGCAGTGGTGATCCAGTCCTCCTACAGGGGCTACAAGGCAAGGAGGAGGATGAAGGAGCAGCAGAGGGGACAATCAGAGGACTACTGGGATGTGGGGGCTGAGAATACTTACGCCACATATGTCCAAGCGGGAGTTAAAGGTCAGTCCTACGCAGCTTACCATCCTACCATATTTTTCAATAGAAACAGTTCTGTTCTCAGTTTCTATTTTCCTTCCATTTTATCAGGTAGGGTAAACGATTTAAAATGCAATTTTGTAGTTGGAATTTAAAACACAGATATCAAGTCTTTTTTGCGCATTCAAGAAGAGAGCTTTTTTGATATTTCTTTGGGGTGGAATCCATCAATATTTCGAATGTTTTGCTGAACATTTTCGGTTTACTCGCAAAATTATAGTTAAAAAAAAACTTTTTTTTCTGGAACATTTGTTCCCCATAATGTACGTTGTAAAATACGCATTCAGCCATAAGAACATGAAACACCAAGGACCAATTAAAAGAGGAAAAGGAAGGCGTCCGCCCCTCTCTTTTTGGATTTCTACCACTTTTAGGTCCACTTTTTTACGACATCAGTTTTTGCCAATCAACTCAAAGGTACCTTAGGTGGCAATTTTGTGGGCGAGCGCGCATGGAAAATTCAATTTTTTCATTAAATTTTTTAAAAACAAATCTTTTTGTCGATTGCCTCTATGTGCAACGGGTGGGAATTCAAAAAGCAGAGGTGGAAATAGCTTGTCGATTGCCTCTATGTGCAACGGGTGGGAATTCAAAAAGCAGAGGCGGAAATAGCTAAGTAGAAAACATAGTGGAAAATTAAAAAAAATCAATTTCAGAAAAAATGTCAAGTAAGTCAATTACTAGAATTAACTGAAGTTTTAGCATTAACCGAGCGGTCACTCAGCCGACACTAAGTAGACAGATGCCCATTGAGCCAAAAACAATAAAAAAAATATGCCAGAAAAACGGTGGCCATAAAAAATTTTGAGCAAGTAATTTTCAAAACTTTGAACTTTCAAAGCACAAATGACCTAGATTTTGAAAAAAAACAGCAATCAGTTTATGTTCGGCCCAAAATAAGTTGACAAAAACGACACAAAATATGTTCATCAAGTCGAGAAAACAAAGTCGGAATTTTTTCAAGTAGAACAAAATTTTTTAGCGGAAAAAATACAAAAAAATTAAAATAGACCAAGTCAAGGTAAGTAAACTTGCAAATTACAGGAGTAAATAAACAACACTTGGAAAAAAATTGATTACAGCTTAGGTAAATTTCCGTTATACGGAAAATAAGCCGACCATCCACAAGCAGACAAACGATAGACCGACAATTCGGTTTTTTTTCCGGAAAAACATTTCAATTTCATACATTCTGAAAAAAGGCACGGTTGGAACTCAAGCTCGAACGGAGGTAGCAAATGCCACCGCGTTGTCTCCAGAAAACGTGAAAAATAGTCCGGAAATTGTTAAGATTCAAGGCTAAAATAAATTGAAACAATTTGAAACAAATTTAATTTAATACATGTTATTTAATTAATCATGTTACGATTTGTGAAAGGTCTAAACGGGAAAAAAAGTCTAGCTAGCTTACGCTTACAAGACACGTGCTCTTGCGAGTGTAAAAAAGCCGAATTGAGTATATATAAAAACAAGATAAGAACTGATAGAAACAAGGTCGGCAGAGGGAGAGGCTGGGGTGTTGGTAGGTCTGTTTAAGTGGTAGAGATCCTCAAACCTCAAACATGGCAACATGTATTCCTTAGGCTACCTGACCCGGAAGGAGCTCGGGACTCAGCAAGGGGGGGATGAGAAGAGTGCAGTGGTGCTGCAGTCATGCTACAGGGGCTACAAGGCGAGGAGGAGGAGGAAGGAGGGGGAGAGTGCGGACGTGATCAGTGGATCTGTCAGAGGATACCAGCGCCGCAAAAAGTTAGTTATCCCAATCAACTACAATTGACTACTGTTCCGAGAATGGAACCTAACTCCCTCCTTAATTTGAGTTTTTCTCCTAAACTGTTCCGCTTGGGCGTCCCTCTCATATGATTAAAGATATAAAACAATGTTAAGCAAAAAATCTCGACCCGCTTGCGGCATCATTTTACACATAATACTTAGTAGCACACAAAAGAAATCAAAAATGCGCATTCTTGATTTCGAGCTGAAATAGAGCAACAACTTTAGGTCGCTAATTGATCTCACAGAAAAATTCTACAATCAACTGTGCCAGAAGCGAATCTAAGGTTTTCTCGGGGGATAAAAATTGATCAGTTTCCGAGCTCCCCCATTAGAATATCGTTTGTAATTGAGGAATTCCCCAATGTCGTCACGGATCTCACACAAAGTTGGCTTGGATCTCAAATATACCAAAAGACTTTTCTCCGAAACAGAGACGAGAATTTTCTAGGCGCTAAATTTTCAGTGACGATGGCTGGACATATAAACTTTCTAAAAACAAAAACTAGATTATACAGTTTTTTTAAAAAAAATAACATATTTTCGAAAACTAAACATTGTCCAATTTAAAAAAAGTAAAAAAAAAAGTCCCTTAAAAGTAAAAAAAACAGCCAAATTTTTCTTTTTAGTTTTTTTTTCAGGGACGGGTAACCTAAAAATCTTCTCCCATGAAAGCCAAAATTTTCAAGACCTAAATTTCTTGACACTCATTACGAGGCCAAACTGTGCATTTTGTGAATTGTAAGCGGATTCGGCAACAAGGATGCTCCTTTCGTCCTTCTTTTGTTCTTTCATTTTCTTTGATCGTTCCGCCAAAACTTTAATATGTTTGAAGACTTGTCTCTGGAATCCAGGAACATACAGACACATAACTGTGCGCCTATCCATCCAGTGCACAGCTTGGCTTCGTAATTCTTAGAAAGTATTATTTATAACTTTTTGAAGTGAGTTGTTTCTTAAGTTAGTTTCATTTGACCACTTCTTAATTAAGTACCTGTCATTTGTGTGTCTCTTTGAAGTCCATTGGGCTTCGAGAAACCTTTCTAGTTGAATAGAGAAGAAATCGTTTTGATTCAAACACTTCTTATTTTATTGTTTTAACTCGAATTAGTAATTTTGTATACCAGTTTCAATACTCTAAAATATGGCTATCTGATTAGAATCTGCGGAAGTTCACAGCTATTTGGCCAAATCATACTGCAGACCTTGACAGCTTAAGATTGTGGTGGAAACCATTATTCCATTACTGGAAAGAATTTTAGATTTAAAAAGATCAAAAAACAAAGAAAAAAAGGATCCAGAAACGAAATTTTTACGAGATCCAGAAGAAAAGAGAACCACGGAAGAAAAAAATCGGCGGCATGATAAGCTGCGCACTGACGAAAAAGTAGGTTCTATACTATAGTAAACAAAAAGATGGCAAATCTTACGAAGAACTTTGGGGAGCGTCTTCACACTTAGCAAGATCATGCGATACAGGATAACCATTCGAGCAAAACAGGATACGTGATGAGTTAGGTATTGACATAAAAAGTGCGATCTCCAACCGAGACTATTATCAAAAAAGATAAACCAACGGAGGCCTTAAATAAAGCATTAATGAACGAAATGGAATATTTCAACTATTTCAAGCTCACGAGCAACTCACGATCAAATAAGAATGGTACAAAAACTTTAATCCTGTAAAAACATCGGGGTCACTGACAGCCGATGAAGAAACTTTTGCGGTGTAATCAAAATCTGGTCAGAGGGAGTAATGAATGACAATATTGATTTTTCAGTTTTGAACATTCAAACATCTACGACACAAAACGGCCCGGTAAGGAAGGAACTTGTAAGCTTTCGCGAGGAGACGATGCATTTTTAAATATGAACTGATGAACTCAAACACCCCTTTAAAAAACTTTCAGTCGACAAAAAGACTCGTGCTTTACCTTGTGGCTTGAATAATGTCACCATCAACATCATCATTGGATACTTCGTGGTCAGAGTTCAATCCAATGGTGGTCATCTGAGGAAACTCCATTCTTTGTCTTTTCTGTTCAAGAGAAAAAAACTCTCGGGGATGATAACTTACGGAAGTTAAGAATTGAATTAGCGCGCAAACGATACCTTCAACCCATCAATGACGTGACTTTCCAAAATCTTGTAAATCAAACAAAGAAATGAACGCTACTTCAAACCTAAAAAGAACTTTCAGGAACCGATCAGGAAACTCTTATCGGATAGAATAACCACACATTTCTACAAGTCTTGTAAGCCAATCCAAATGAAAGGTAGTAGAATTCCGTTAAAATTATTCAAATGTACAAATTTGAAGTTGAAAAAATTGGAAAAAGAAAGACAAATTAACAAAAAAAAAACAAATATGACGAAAACTGCTTCATGAGTCTGATTCTAAATTCCATAGACCTAGGAAAAAATTCACAATTCTTGGTCGAACAAATGATGAAAAAAATTTTAAAATGCCATAAATAATCAAAAAAAAATTTTCCAAGTGAATGAGCGAATACACAATTACACGAAAAAATCAAAAAAAAATTGCCCTCCAACTGTCAAACAACAAATTCGGAGACGTATGGTTTAGTAGTCTCAGTTTGCGAAACGCTTATAGCCAGCTAAAACTTCGTAATAAAACAAGCAAACAAGTCGTAGGCTCACTTTCAAAAATTGTTACATGGATGATATCTTGATTAATTCATAAGGATTGTAAAACGAGCACAAAGAGTTTTTTAGAGAAATCAAGAATTACTTGAAAACAAAATCGAGATTATGAAATGGAAAAATGCCTTTTCTTTTGAAAAGGCAAAAAAATGTTGAACTTTAGGATCTCAGTAAAAATTGTATTTGGTTGCCATTGGTTGCAGAAGCAGATTTAATCAAGAACCCATCCAATATGAAAAAACTTCAGAAATACGAAATAAAAAACAGTAACAAACTTTATCTTTAGATCAAGAAAACACTATTTGAAATTACACCAATTTTGTTGACCCTCTGCTCACTATAACGCCCTCTACCAAACAAAAAATTTTATATAATGGCATTAAACATATTCGAAAGCGTTCGAAAACTTAAAAACTCAAACTGTAATCACTTTGATAAAAAAACTTTTACTAAACTCAACTCAACGTATGGGCAATAAAACTCCCCACCTCACAACACAATAAGGATTTCGAAAAAAAAACAAATACCAACAAGATAAGCAATTGTAAAATATCAGTGCGAAAAGAAGTAATTTGAGATTTGGGTAAAAAAACTGCACATTGGAAATCCATTTGATGCTGATAGTGTAACTATTAACAACCACTTCGAGAACAAAAACCGCCGGGCAAAAAAGCTATAACACACCCAACGCTACTTCTCTGCGATCATTTTTAAAAACGCTATTGACACAACTCGAATAAGTAAATCAAACCACTCTCGCTCCGATTTTTGTACAAGCAGCTGCATTCCCTTGGATCTGTCAAAATTCAATTTGAGTCAGTGCATCATATCTGATAAGGGTTATCTTATCTTATCTCTCCGAAGTTCGTTCCAACAGAGATAAGCCAATCACCAAAAAACACGTTTAATTTTCAATGTACATCTAAACTAAAAAAAACCTGGTTGTTTTTGCTGAAAATGAAGAACTGAAAAATTTTTAGACAATAAATTGTCACAAATGTACCACAAATTAATCAATAAGATCTAAACAGGCATAAGATTACCATCATCCCCAATCTAGTGTACCGACCACTGCTCCAAGTATTTAAATAAGTAAATGAACAGCGATGCAAAAAGCTGAAAGTTCAAAAAAGCAGTAGAAACAGGAAAACAACTGGACAAATTGACAACAGGACCTACATCAAGACTTTCCGAGCGAGCGCACACAAGAAAGATGGACTGCTCTTTAATGCAAACATGCTCCTGGTAACAGCAGCCATTGTACCGGAGTTAATACACGAGACACACCCAGGACAAAATGGGATGAAGGCTTCAACGGAAAACAGCGAGTGACATCATTTGTACAGAGAATACCCTGGGAGTAGGTGCTCAGTAAAGAATTGAAAGTAACTTTGGTCGCGGAAAAGACCCAGAAATTACCAGAGCTGAAACAAGCGAATGAAATAATTGATTTTGCGGGACCACAGATTAAGTCGATGGCGGAACCAAAAACATACTTTTGTGTATTGACCGAATCACGAAGATTCCTTCGGCAAAAAAATGAGCACAACCCATTTTAAATTTTTTCATCTAATTACTGTAACCTTTTGGGTTTTCAAAATCCATTAGAGTGGACCATGGTTTGTGTTTTCATCTTAAACGAGTTTCAAAATGTCTGCTTGAAGAATCATACCAATTTCGTTTTTTTTTACAAAGGGTTATCATATAAGCAATGGGTCCTAGGATGACTATTTTACATAGTGTGGCGATGTTGTTCAACGAATCAAAACTTCTTTAAAACTATTCGAACGTACGATCAACAAAACAACGCTCAATGTTTAAAAAAAACTTAATAAATTGCCCAACGCTTTTTTTGGAAACTTTGTCTGATGCCAATTAAATTAAACAAAAGAAAGCAATAACGTTCAATTTAAATGCATAAGACTGGCCAAAGAATTCCCAGATAGAAGAAAATTATTTTAGCGGAAGGAGGCAATCGGCAGGGAACGGAAACAACGTCAATACTTTTTTCAATTTTTTGTTTAGTTTTTCAGCGCATGTTAGAGTAAAAAAAGTAAATAAGGAAACTTTATATTTGTCTTAGTTATAAGGCAGAGAATATATGAAACGTCGTATATCTGAGAAATGCAGTTTTGAATCAAAGATGAGTTCATACACACCCATATGCACTTCCTTACTGCTTTTAGTTTTCTCAGAAAAAACACAGTCTATTTTGAACAACTCTACTAAAAGCATTTCTGAGATATATAATCACACTCAATGTATTTAAATACTACGATAGGTTATTCTGAAAAAAAATATATTACTCTATT